CCTCTCCGGGAAAAAAAAAAAAAAGATCATATGCTTTTATTGGGGGTGGGGTGGGGGTGGGGTCTTTGCACGCCTGAATGTTAATCCTTCTCTATTTCTCAGAGCTTTTGTGTTTTGCTACCTTTATGTCCTCTTTTAATTTCATGATCTTCTGTACGTATTTCAATGGGAAATAGTGCTGGGATTGGAGAGATAAATATCAATATGTATTATTCACCAAATTTGATCATCTATTTTAAAGTACTTTTGGTAATTCATTTAATTTAGACACTTAAAATTCCAGAACATTCAATTATTAGCCTTCCCTTCTTTTTATAACAAATGTCAGTGTTTGTGATGACTATAATTTTATGGTCATTTGGATTGCAAGATATTTTCTTGATGACTATATGAAACCATTCTTTATGAAGATTTTTTTTTCTGCTAGCTTATAATACCCAGCATAGTAATTGGTACATGTATTGATATGTTTAGTTAACTGAATTCTGTGACAGTCAAATCATTATATCATTTAAAATCAAAACCATTGTATAATATATTAATGTTCTACCACCTATAAAACTAAATTCAAATTCTTGAGCTTCTATCTGAATCTTTTTCCTTTCAAAAAGATGTATTTTTATGACTCATTCATGTACGACACTGGAACCATATCAAGTGCCATTCCTTTTTCTGTTAAATAGAGTGCAAATGGCAAGACATTAATAAAGCCTGTAGCTCAGTAAATCCCAAGGTATCAAAGCTATATATATTGCAATTCAGGTTTATTAGGCTGTTTTGTTCATAAGAGTGGATGATTTTTAGCTGAGGTACATAGCAAAGAGGAAATTGGACTCACAGTTGGCAATCAGAACCAAAGGATGCACTTGAAATACTGCTTAGAGCTCGTCACATGCAGCAGACACAGATGGAACTGTTAAGATAAGACAATGATGGACTCTCCTGACTTTGAGTTCCACATTTTATCACAACATTTAACATGTCACTGTTTATAGTCTTATATCAGACCACAATCTCTTAAGAAATAGTGACTACATCTTATTCTCTTTCTATTCCAATACTGATTAAAAGGTCTTATTCATACAATGAGTGCATGTTTATTGAACAGAAATTTCTACAAGCCAGAGACCTCTTGATGCTTCCCTCTCTCTCATGCCTGTAACTAAGTCATTACTGAATCTTTTGGCCAACTAAATACTGTTTTAAAGCCACCCATTGGTCTCCATCTCACTATTTCCATGACCAAACCTACTGTCACCTTTTTTGGAGCATTGTACCTGCATCACTGCAGTGGCCTCTTAACTGATATACTCCCATTTCTCTGGTCCTGCTTTCGTTCTTCTCATTATAGCCAGAATGATCTTAAATAGTACAGTGAATCATCATCGTCATCATAATATTGATAATGCTTTCAACCAAGGTAAATAGATAAGGTATATAAATAGGGTAATCATTTGCACAACACTTTTGAATGAGAAATGAGCGCCACTACTAATCATGCAGGAAGGCATGGAAACAGGAATATGTGTTTATCCTGCTTGCTAGGTACTTTACAATCTGGGGCCTGTTCATCCTGCTTTCTTTCATTCTTTCTGCACCTGCAGCCATTTTTTCATCCTTCTGTGCCTCCCAGGGTTACTCACCATGTTCCCACTGCTAGGTCTTTTCACATGCTATTATCTAAATATCTGAATCCTATTATTACTTCAGTTTCAACTCTTGAGTTTCATCTCATTAACTAGGTTAAACCTCCTTATCACATCCATGAATTAAGTTTAGCATTTATTTGAATGAAGAAATGAATGAGTACTAGAAATAGGTTGATAATATTTTGTTACCAATATACCAGTTAAGATGGAATACACTAGGACTAGCAGATGGTGTCATGGTTACTTTGCTGTACTCCCATGTAGTCCACCATGGTTCCAGTCCCGGACCCAACGGCTTAAAACACACATGTGCATGTGTGCCCAAAATCCCAAGAGGAGGAGAAGGGATATCTCCCTGGGGCAGTGATATTTTGCTTTCTGTCTCTCTGGCGAGTGCATGTGCCCTATAGCAAAATTCTCCCCCCAAAATTTAAAAATAAAAAGAGGGAATACACTCATAACATAATGACAAAGTAAGCTATATATTTTTATGCTATATATTCAGTATATGTGCTTTAGATTAATGTGCAGCTACAGTCTCAATTTTAACAGTCTTAATTCTAATTGTGCTATTTGATGTTTAATTTGGTAAGGATGCAATAATTTAATTTATTTTAAAAGTTCAACTTAGGGGCCAGCAGGTGGCATAGTGGTTAAAGCACTGGACTCCCACATGATTGATTATAGTTTGAATCTTAGAACCGGCCCCTTGAAAATTATACCAGACATGTATGGATGCATGCCCAAAGTCCCCAAAGGAGAATGGAGGAGAAGGGATTATGGGATGGCCATCCCCCCTACGGGGTATTTCTTACTTTCTCTTTCTTGGTCTCTCTGGTGAGCACACATGCCTTATAGCAAAACTCTCTAAAAATAAATAAATAATTAAAAAGTTCAATGTAGTAACTATATAAATAAGTCATAAATTCAAAGTTAGATATGGGTTTTTTGATAAGAAATTCCCCTTATTATAAAATCTGTGACATTTAGAATCATAACATACAGAATTGATGGGTTCTGAAGCCATATGATCTAAGTTTAAATCAGAACTTGACCATTTATGGCTGGGTAACCTTGAGCAAGTTACTTAACTTCTTCATGCCTCTGTTTCCTATCTATAAAATAGTCTTATGATGATATCTATTTTCTAGGGATTTTGTGAAGATTAAATCAGTTAGAATTGTTTCTAGCACATAGTAAATATTCATTAAATACAGTCAGCACACTGGGAAAGTCATGACGTATTTTTCTATGTTTTTCTATGCAAAAATTAGTTGTGACTTTTCCAATGACCCATTAGTTATTACTGCTATATTTATTCATTCAACAAATATTTATTTAGTACTTTGTGCCTATCATTATTCTAGATGCTCAAAGTCCAGAAATGATTATGACAGGAGATATGCTGGGGTATATAACTTATAAGTACTTGAATTTCAAATATTTGATAAGTATTGCAAATGAAATATATATAATGATTTTTTGGAGGGATATTGATGGCAAGGAATTTTAGATAGCTTGAAGAATGAGAATATGTCAGCATGCACAAAGTACCAGGTAGAAAAAAGAACAAGTGTACAAGCTCCAAGGTAGGAAAAAATTTAGCCTAGGTTTAAAAAAGGAAGAAGCCAAGTGTACCTGGAATGTTATATATGAGTAGGAAGATTAGGAAGTCTGAAAGATAGACAAGAAATCAATTATGCAGATAGGTTTTGAGATTTTAGTTGGAGAGTGAGAAGTCACCTAATTCTTATTTATTTTGCTAATGAAGAAACAACATCCCATGTATACTAGCCAGAGTCATTTGAGTTAATTAGTGATGGAAAAGTATGGCAATTATACTCTATGGAATACTATTCAGCCATAAAACAAAACAAAACAAAACAAAACAAAACAAAACAAAAACCACAATATCCTGTCATTTGATAGAAAGTGGTTGAATATGTAAGATTTATTGCGAAGTGAAGCAAGTCAGGCTATTAAAGAAAGACGTTGTCTGTCTCCACTTAATATATACTGACTGTCTACCTTCTATGATAGAGACTGAAAGATCAGAGGACATAAAAGCAGTGCCACTTCTGGAGACAGTGTGGAAGGAGGGTGGGAGAGGGAATGAGTATAGGGAAGGAAATCAGGGAGAAAAAATAAAGAGGCAAGACATCTGTGACACTCAGAAAGGGTTTATTACCTGTTGATGATAACGTATATAGTATTCTCAACTGGACCAGTCCGAGCTGTATTTCATGTTGAGTAAATTCTCTTTATAAGCCAAATGATGTATAGCAATCGGCTGTATTAAAAAAAAATAATAGTATTAAAAAAAAAGATGCAATTGCAAAAGCATCTGGCATGACTCATGGAAAGTATTCAATAATGGGGCCTGTTTGTCTCATGTTTGCTGCTTGTTAAAGGTGATCTCAGAAGGTGTATATGGGAATATCTTTGATTTGGTCCTTGTACACTGCATGCATACCTTAAAAAACCATACTGGCGTCAGTTCTGTGGTCCATACAACTGACTTGGCCTTGGTGGCTTGAAAAACATACCAAACACATGTGCATGTGTGCCCCAAATCCCCAAAGATGGAGAAATGGAGAAGAGGCTGTGGTGTGACCACCCCGCATTGGAGGGGGGATACGTTCTCCCTCTCGGCGTCACTCTGTCTGTCTCTCTGACAAACACATGTGCACTCTGGCAAACTAAAAACAAACAAACAAAAAACACTGTAGCCCATAAAGATATGCCTCAATTATATGTATACAAGAAATCATAATTTTAAAAATAATAAATATTTTAAAAATTAAAAAAAAATAGTGATGGAAGTAGAGCTAGAAGCCAAGTGTTCTGTATCCATATATTAAAAAAAAGAAAGCATACATACAAAAGATGTATACATCTTCTATAGAATTTTCACAAAGTAAACTCACCTATGTAACCATATCAAGAAATAGATTTTTGGCCTTTTCTCTGTAAGCCCCCCAATCATGTCCCCATCACTATCTCATCTTCCACAAATAACCTTTCCTTTATCCTGATCTCTAACACCATAGATTAATGCCATAGTTTTGTTTTGTTTTGAATTTTGATGGACTTTTGATTGGAAGCATATGACTTTTAGTTTGTCCAGCTTCTTTCACTCAACATTATGTTTATGACTTTTATTCATGTTGTGTTCATAGTTGGTTCATTCTTGTTGCTGCATAATATTCCATTGTGTGAATATACCACAGTCTTCCAGTTTTATATCCCATTAAAAGTCACTAAAAGACAAAATTTGTATGTGTATATGAAATTAAAGTTAGATTGTGAGTCATATAATTTATAAATCTATGTTAATCTTACTTATCCTAGTCACTTTATTCTAAACCAATTGAAGGTTCTGTAAGGAAATTTCTGATTTATAGCCTAGTTATACATTTCTTTGATTATGAATTTGAAAATAGATTGCCTAGTTAAAACCAAAGGCTTTCATGAGCAAAGATTGCCCAATGTGTCCTTTTGATATGGGTATTAATTGTAAATAGAAATAACTTGGATCAACCTGTTGGATGCTTTCAAATGAAGGTATCATTGAGGTTTTTGGTTTTTGGAAATGTTATATGGAGTATTATATGCTTCTGAATGGGAAGGCAAGGATTATTTGTTATTTAACTGGGACAAATAGCAATAGTCATCATTTCTGTTATTTTTTTTTAATTAGTTCTGTTTAAATACTATGTATTAGTAATGAGATAAGTGCCATTTTTTGGTGTGGATTTCATTCATTTTTCTTCTCTCTTTCTCCTCTTTTTTTTTTTTCCCAATATTCAGATGATGTTGCACCATATTTTAAAACAGAGCCTGGCCTACCACAGATTCATCTGGAAGGGAATCGACTCGTTCTCACTTGCCTTGCTGAGGGGAGCTGGCCTTTGGAATTCAAGTGGATATACAATGACAGTGAGCTCACCACCTACAGCAGCGAATATAAGTAATTGATTGCTTGAAAATAAGATTGCATAATAAGATTTCAGGTTAATGTGTGCATAATACTTGCCTTATTGCCCAAAATGGCATTAGGGTGAAAATATTGGGTTAACTATCTAATACCTGAAGGATTAAAGAAATGAATTTGAACATATAATTAGAATGTGGTTTACTATTCTGATAATGTTAGATTTATACCAAGAAAATCTATCATTATGTTTATAAAAGTAAGTCTGTTAACTAACCTATCAGGCAAAAATGGAAAAAAAAAAAAGCTATATTTACAGAGGAATGCATAAACACTTTAACATGATAATTTTTTTTTGTGGCAACAGATCCACCCACAAGTACTGTTCCTTTCTAGCCAATATAAGTGGTTTCTGCAACTCTGAATAGTCTAAAAAAGCTTTCCTAGCTACATTTTCTAGTTGAGATAAGAAAGAATGAAATGATGGGAGAAGAGGTATGTATTTTACAGCAAAAGCCATTGAATTTCTGCTATATGCCAGCCACTGTGCCAAGTACTGGAGACATTGGGGTGAACATGTGACAAACAGAGAACAAAGGCCAAGATCAGGGACATAGATAGCAGTTGGGATAAGTCTGAAATGTGACTTCACCCAGGAAGCAACAGCACTGCCTTACAAACCTCAGTATTTACTTGAGTGCTAGAACGCTTTTTAGATTTGTACTAATTTACCACTGTTTTGTAAGGAGTATTATACTGCAATGTTGCAGTTTTGAGTAGGACAAGATCTAGTAATTTCTGAAAACTACATGAGGCTCCCAAAATCAACAGATATTAGCAATACCATGCTCTTATTTAAGTGAATAAGGAAGAAATGACTGTATGGATGTATTTTAAATAGAATAATGTGCTTTCACCATGAGGAATAGCCTATCTGCTTACTCTGTTTATTTCAGGGGTTGTAATATGATGGTCCTTGAACCATATTTGGCCTTCCCAGGCTTTGTGCGTATTTGAGTATGTGTGTCTTGTGTATATTTGTATGTGTATATTTTTTAAATTACTGAAAACTAATTTACAGGAATGAATACATCGTATTTTTCTTTATTGATCACCAACATCTGACAGCTGTAAGATTTTGTATAAAAATTCCCCTTTCAGGAACCAGCAGTTAGCGTAATGGCTATGTTGCTGGACTCCCACGTAGTCGGATTTGCTTCCCAGACCCAGAGGCTTAAAACTCACGCCGGGCACATGTGCGTGTGTGCCCAAGATCCCGAGAGGATAATGGAGGATAAGGGATTGCGGCGTGACCATCCCCCCTGGGGGGTGATTTCTCGCTTTCTGTCTCTCTGTCTGTCTCTGTCTGTCTGGCCAGCGCACACACCCTATAGCAAAAACCTCTCAAAAAAAAAAAAAATTCCACTTTCCAGCCTTTCTAGACCAGTTAGAAGGTCTGGCTGCACTGGTCTTCAGTCTCCTACCTGGACAGGCAGTTGAGCAATGCTATCCTGTGGTAAAGGCATGGATACCCTTTACTGTTCTCCTAAGTGTTCTCAAGCCCCTTCTTTCCTTATAACCTCATACCTATAATTGTAGCCTTAAGCAAATCTCAATGGTATAGTCTTATTTATTTATATTTATATGTATATAGAGAGATAGATATCTCTATATCTATTGACCTTGATATAAATACCAAGAAAATCTAAAAGTAAGCCTGTTAATGAAACTACCAGGCAAAAAATTGAAAAAAAAGCTATATTTACAGAGTAATGCGTAAACACTTTAACATGATAATTTTTTTTTTATCTATATCAATAGATATATAAATATTTTGCCACAGGGCACATACGTTTGCCAGAGAGACAAAGAGATACAGAAAAAAGGAGAGTGAGAAATCACGCCCTTGGTGGGATAGTCATGATTCAATCCCTTCTTCTTCATTCTTCTCTTGGGATTGTAGGCACACACATAGACCCCGGTGATTTTTAAACTGCTGGGTCTGGGACTCAAAGTGCCAATTTGGCCAGGTGGGAATCCATTGCCTTAACTACCATGCCACCTACTGGCCCCAGTAATAGGTATACTAATCTGTCAGGATTGATTTAGAAAGCAAAAACTAAAAAGTGTACTTACAAAATGAGAACTATGCATGAGTAATGGACTTTGGGTACAGCTACTTGAATTTAAGTATTTGCTTTCCAACTTATTATCCGTGTGACATTGAATAAGTTATCTAACCATTTTTTTTAAGTTAACTTATTTTTTTCCCTTAGAGAGACAGAGACAGACAGGCAGGCAGGTGTGTCCAACAGGGTCTTCATGCTATAATACTAGACACCCACTGCCCGCTAGAATCACAGGCATGCTTGCACACAATATTGTTTTTTTTTTTTAGTTTGAAAATTTATTCATTTTTTTTTTCTTGAGAGAATAAGAGAGACAGACAAAAAGTGAACCAGACAGGCTCTTTCACAGGTTCTTCTTGCTGGTATCTAACCCAGACTAAATCAGCCAGGAACATGACCATGTGCGTGTGTCTGGCATGTACAGGGAGATCCTGTTTTTTTTTTTAATTTAGTTTTTTATTATCATCATAATCTTGTTTATATTACAATGAATTGCATATAACTTTACAGTGTATTGCATTGCTTTTACAAAAGGGAATGTCATGCATGTCAGTCAATACAGAGACATTAATCTCCCCACTTCATCATTCAATATCTTTTCAATGTTTTTCCCAATCATTATTATTATTCTAATTATAATTTTTAAACAATCATTATTTCTCATTTTGCTTGTAAAAAGACTTTGCTCATCATGAAATACTTCTCACACCAATCCAGTTGAGAATACTATATATGTCATCATCAACAGATAATAAGCCATATCTGTTTCTCTCTAACGTCCTGCCTCTCTACTGTTCACTTGCTATCTTTATCTATCCTCTTCACTCCCCCCATTCCACACTGTCCTATTCTCATTAAGTACCTTCACTGCTTTTATGTCCTCCAATTTTTTGCTCTCTACCATAGAGTGCAGATAGTCGGTATATATTGAGTGGATGCATACAGTATCTTTCTTTCATAGCATGGCTTACTTCACTCAGCAATAGATCCTTCATATCTGACCACTTTCTATCAAATTCCAGGGTCTTGTTATGTTTTTATGACTGAGTAGTATTCCATAGAGTATACATGCCACACTTTTCCAATCCATTCGTCAGTTTGTGGACATTTAGGTTGGTTCCATGTCTTGGTAATCATGAATAATGCTGCAATAAACATTGATGTGCAAGCACTTTTCTGACTGAGCATTCTCCTGTCCTTTGGGTAGATACCCAGAAGTGGGATTGCTGGATTAAATGGTAGTTCTATTTGTAGATC